TCCAGCAAGTCACTATGTTTTCTTTCCTGAAAATTCCTGGAAACTGCTTTACTTTCCCAAATACGTAATGAAAGCATTAGATCTATTAGATTAGATATATTTTTTAAAAAGGAATTAATTGGCGAAATACGAATATTATCCCAGAAATACACGATTTAAAAAAAAATTAATTTTTTATTACTCTGTCGCCAAATACGCAACAAAACAATAAACGACATAAGTTATATTTAAAAAAAAAAAAAACCAACTAATAGGCGAAATAGGACTAATAGCCCAGAATTATACAATTTTTACAAAAACAATCAATTTTTATAACTCTGGCGCTCCCAAATTCGCAATAAGCAATAAACGACATAAGTTATATTTAAAAAAATAATAATTAATAGGCGAAATACGAATATCAGCCCGGAAATAGACGATCTTTACATAAACTCTCATAACCAACCAGGAAATTTTCTTCCTTTACGTACGGCAAAACATCGCTAACATGACAAAAAAAAAAACATTTAATCGTGTCCCGTGGACCAAAATGTTAAGGCAACTTTCCAAATTTATTATGGCAAGGCAAACAACTCTCATGAGTTCTTAATAGGCAACATTCAAATTATGGACAACGTTCTTCTTATTTATGCAGTGGACTGTATTTTAATAGATAGGTAGATTATACGAATTGTACAAAAACAGCTTACCATTTTTATGCCGGCTTAAGAAATTTGTTACCTGAGGACCCTCAAGTGCAGGTCTTGCCTAAAGTCAGGTGGATACTTGTGCTAGAAAGGCTGAGTGAAGCGACACTCCTATGGATAAAATCATATCTTTTAGATCTCTTGATCTGCCCCCACCACTCGCCATAACGAGGAAATTTGGAACTATCTTCACACAAACACATATTCATTAAAAAAGTGTGCTGACCGCAACTCATTTATACCCAAAAATGTAATATTCAAATAATCAAATCAGATGGAACAAAAAAAACACATTTACAAACCGTTAACAAAAAATCTAATTTAAGCCCCCAAAACAAATTTATACTTAATATTTAAGTATACACACATAGCTCAAACTTTTTGAACTAGATGAGTGAATAATGTCCATTCACCTACAACAACATCAAAAGCAACAACAATCTATGATAATGAAAATATGATAGACAATTTGAACGATATTGAAGTTAAAGGATAGAAAAATAATTAATAAGTGCTATGCACCGAAAGCTTCTAGAATTATAAAATAAGAGACTGTTTGAAGGGTACCAATTTATATTAAGAAAATAAAATAGACAATCTACTCTCCTTATCATACAAAAACTAATCAGTTTTCAAAAAATTGCTTTGAAATGTAAGGAATGTATGTAAACCAGATCATGTAAGCATAGGATTCTGTAATTATTTTTTTCACTAAAAACTTCATTTCTACTAAATATTATGTTAGATATTGTATTAATAATAATAATTGGGAAATAAGGATCCATTAGAACAATTTATAAAGGTATTTACTAAACAAATAAATTACATTCAAATTCCTCTTATATAATAACTAATAATGATCTTTTTAAATTTTATAAATGAATCATTAAAAATCTATAATAAATTAATATACTTGTATCAATTTTTAAAAAAAAAATTGTTGATCCAATATTAATTTTAAAGATAATTATTTTGTATTGATGCCTTATATACTAACATTCAGTTAAAAAAGTAAATTTTACATGAGAGTTTTCAAAATATTACAAGTAACTGAGAAAGTATAGCATAGCAACATATAATGATAAATTATCAGTAAATATTTAGAGAAACTATAACTTATTTTTAAAAACACAAACAAAATTAAATAACATATTTAAATTTGAACATAAAGAATGATAATAACAGAATATAACTAATGATATAATAATAACCTGTGTGTTCATCATTTATATAAAAATCTGAAAGAAAGGTTTTAAAAGGATATAAAATACCATGGTCTCCCTTTAGTTCTTTAACATATATAAGCAATAACACTTTTATATAATTTTACGTTATATATTTACAAAATATTATCTTTAAAATGTTGCTCTCTACTTTTAGAATTTATATGCCTCATAGTTATGAATATTTTCTAGGAAAGTAATAAAAAGAAAAAAGACCTCTAACAAAATACATATATTTAAAAAATAATAGTTATCTAATCAACCAATCATCCAGAACTATATTGAGAAACTCCTTGGTTCTGCACCATAATTCACAACTAAACCATTTAATGTATTTAGTAATCAACATATTTATAGCTAAAATATTAAAAACATTGGATAAGATTAATGGAGAAAGATTGAGATGAATAAAAAGAATTTAATTAAATGTATATTTTTATTCATCTTGACTGATCTTGGACAATGATATCCAAGATTCATTAAACATTTATAGCTATGTAGTACAATAAATATTATACAGGATGTTTCAGGGTTAAGTGGCCAAAATGCAAAAATGAACTAAGAGCCTCAAAACAAGAAATAAATTTCCTTTGAAGGTATGTCCGCAAACGCTTTGTTTAGGAGATATTCACACCTAAAGATTTTCGTTGTATCAATCAAATAAATAAAATCTATTTATTTGTTCTAACTACTTTATTAATTAAATGTAAACCTTAACACTCTATTATGTTCAAAGTGATTTCCTTGAGCATTAAGACAGGCTCGGCATCTTACTTCAACAACAGCAGTAGCAGAATGGCACTGGATATGTTTTATTGTTTCACAAGATTTAATTATCCTTCTTTGTAAGGAATTAAGGTCATTGACCGGACTTGCATAGAATTTTTGTTTATAATTCCTTACGAAGAAGGATAATTGAATCTTGTGAAACAATAAAAACTCTCCCACGCAAATTATTTGCGGACATACCTTCAGAGGAAATTTTTTTCTTGTTTTGAGGTCCTTAGCTCATTATTTTTGAAGATTGGCCACTTAACCCTGAAACACCCTCTATATGAGTATATGAGGAGGCGCCACATCCTATGATTGGTCATTTTACATTCCAGCAATAGATATAAAAATAAGTCACAGGTCCAGAAACCATGTGCAATAGATAAATTAAAAGACTTAAACTCGTCAGCTGAAAGTAGAAAAAGAAATTTTGGCAAGTTAAATCATTAAGTTAAATAATTGGTACTAGAAGCCTAATTAAATTCAAAATAATTTCTGAGAATTATAGTTTAATTAATAATCATTACATTAAAATAAATTTATTTGAGATAATTAAACGAAATGCATACATTTAATAGTCAAAAATAATAAATCTATAATATTACAGATAATAATAATAAATCTACCCCAAATTATGTGTTGTTTTTTTTAAAGATATGTTACACTAAAACTTTTGGTGTTTGGAAGAACTAATAAAAATAAAGAAAATTTCATCTCTTAGACATAATTTCTAAGTTATAGTTTCTAAGGTTTAAGAGTTATATTAACGAGCTATGATAGTGATAGCTATTTCTTGAATGAAATAAACAATTAAGTCAAATTTTAGAAATGTTTATAAATGTAGAGTATTTGAGAAAAAAACAATTACATTGAATGAAAAAGAAAAAGCCTTTGAGCCTTTGAGAATTATATTTTAATGTAATTATTTAAATAGGGAATAAGATCACTAAATTATAATTCAATAACCTACAAATGATTCATTTGTTTTTCACACAGGCCAGGGACCTCATATCGATATCTTAGAGCTATTACTACTGTAAGCAGTAGCTTAATATCTGTGCTGGTGGTTGGTGGCATGTTCCTGGCCTGAAGTATGGAGGCTCTATTTTAAAACATTGAAGAGGATCCCATTATTAGCATAAAAAACCGGGACCAAAACGTCGAATAAACAACAGGATCAATGAATAATTTTCAGTTTATTAATTATAATGTAGTGACCTAATTCTCAATTTAAATAATTATATATATATATATATATATAATTATTTAAATTGAGAATTAGGTCACTACATTATAATTAATAAACTATATATATACAATATATATATATATATATATATATATATATATATATATATATATATATTGTAATGAACAATATACATCCATTTCATTACAATCCATAACAATATATATTGTAATGAACACTTTTATTGGAAGTGAGTAAAAAGGTTTTAAAAAATTAATGTTGAACGATTAAAAGGCAAGCTAATCTAGTTCTACTACTGCACAGAAAAGAAAATGGCTGTTCTGTAGTTTCCCAAGAAGGAAAATCCCAAAGAGGAGAGGGGCAAAGGTTTTTTTTTGGCATGCAGTTGTTGTGTGGCAGCAGTGAAGAGAGGATAGAAGGGATCCTGGCTCCAGTGGGTAAAACCCAGTAATAGTATTATCATCGGGGACTTTGTTTAGCAGAGAGACTGGTTGTTTGGAATCACAAGAGAGAGGATATTCCAGAGAGCTTTAGTCGAGTAGAAGAAAGTATCACCAATTAGGAAGTTGAGTTTGGCAGGACTTTAGAAATTGTTTGAAAACAAATGAATTCAGTGCCACAAAGGAAGAAACATTGTATATAGAAAAAAGGTTAGTTTGCCAATCCATATTTGACTTTATTTTAAAATCAATGTTTAATTTTAGTATAAATAGTGTAAATAATAACAGTTTGTCTGAGTTTATCAGATTGTCAGTAAACCACACCTGAGATAAATAAATATATTAATTTTGGGTAAATAGTTTACTGTCGTGAATAATGAAGAGAATAGTTGAGGTGATCAGTCACAAATAAGAAGGCAAAAATAAATATTATCATAAATAAAAATTAATACTCTTTTAATTTTGTTTATTATTATAACAACCTCTTATTTATTTGGGAAGTATCCCAACGGTATAAATTGAGCTTCCACGAGGTCATATTATTATTTGTAAAATCTAAGGGAGATGTTACAATATATATATATATATATATATATATATATATTTATATATATATTTTTATTATATTAATATATATAATTATATATATATTATATATATACAAACATTAGCCTGCTCAGCCATTCCCCTCCCCCTAGTGGTACTCTATTAGACAACTGAATTGCTAAATTCTATCATAGCTCTCATGATAATCTCATACAAAAAAATGAAAAAATGAGAGTTTCAAGCCTCTCTCTATCTCTCTCTCTCTCTCTCTCTCTCTCTCTCTCTCTCTCTCTCTCTCTCCTCCACCCTTCCCTCCATAATTCCTAAAAGTACTTTTCATTGAAAAACAACAATATGCTTATAAATTCATTAATTTTATTTTCAATTATTAATTATTTGCATGTTACATGGTAGAAGTTTAGTAATTGGTTACTTTTCTACATTTGAAAAACATGAACTGTAAAAATTAATTATGTCATTGTATCTCATAAGACTAAGCAATTGAAGTTTTATTTGTTAGGACAAAAAACTAAAAATTATTATATGAATCACCACTTTAAGTTTAATTTTTTTTTTTAAATAAACCTTTCAATTAGTAATTAATTGTATGAAATGATTTACTTTTTACAATTTTTTATTGCTTTTATGTTAAATAAGAAAAATATTTAAAACATACTTTTCAATTATTATTTAATTGTATGAAATGATTTATTTTTATTTATTCATTTTTTTTTTTTACTATTTTTTAATCTTTTTAATGTAACACACTTTTGAGAGTACATTTTATATTATATAAATTCCTTTAATAAACTTGAAATGGAAAAAAATAAGAACGATATCTCCTGTTATCATACTGATACTCCAGAAAATAGATTTCCAATGATCAAATCACAGAACCGATACCACCAATAATACTAATATAATGAATTAATTTTAACACAGAAATAAAAAGCAATTATGTATGTATAAACCCTGCATAAAATTCTTTAATACTACAAAATCCAATATATTTAGAGAAAGGCACCAATATATCATATTTGGTGTCATAATAATTGACAATGTTCTTTGTTTTCGTGTTTTAATGATGTAGATGCGAAATGAAGCAACTCATTCAGTTAATTTTATATTTAATAATAATAAAAAAAATATTGTTGCAATCTTTCTTTTCTCAAATGTATTAATAAACTGAATAAATATCATATAACAAGATATGATAGACACACTGCTTAACCATGAATTATCAATTCATATTAAATATCATAATCCATTATTTTGATTAAATTATTACTTGGAATACTTTAATATAGCATGTCCATGAAAGACAAAGATTAAACCAAAGTATTGACAACCTTGATATAAATGACATCAATAGATTAATTTTGAGAGGATTAAAATTTCTTAAACATATAAAATAACAATATCAATGCTTTATAACAATTCATTGAATACTCTGAATTTAACATGAAATCAAATGATCATCAATTTTAAAAAGATAAATTATTATTTCTAAATCATTCTGATTTATTACTGAAAATAAATTAGCAAATATAAACAGCAATATTAAGTAATAATTCATTAAAATCACAGCATATTACACCAATGCTTTTGATTATTTGTACTTTATGCTTACCTAAGATGATCATAATTATTTAGCTATTCACAAATACAAAGCTATAATACTGATTTCTAAAATAGATGTTGAAGACATAAAGCTAATTATGATGGAGTACTAAGCATACCACTATATACTATTAGTAATATTAATACTATACATTAATGAATGATATGTAGTTTTGCTTGATCCTGTTGTTTAAAACAGGTAGTAAGTACACCACTGATATACCCAGAATCTGATAGAAACTGAAAAACAGTTTGTACAGAGAGAAGGAAATACTTCAAACATTGAATGAAAATCGTCTTTGAAGTAATTAATGAACAAATGATAAATTTCTAATTTAGAATATCAAATAGTGAATGCTCTTTAAAAAATAATTATAATAAATAAACATGCATTCTGTTTCACTAGAAATATAACTACTATCAATTAAAATAGCTATACCAAGATGATATAGTTTTAATTTTGGTAATATACTGTTAATATTCAAGATTACAATCTAAATATTTAATTAGGTTATAGGTAATATAAATTACGAATAATGGAAACAAGTTTGAGAGATGAAACCAAGTAAAAAAACAAATAACCAAGAATAGTGAACATAGATTTCAATAAATATAGCTCACAGCCATCCAAAGCTATTATTTAAAGAGAAAATTACACTTGTATTTTTATATTTTTCAATACAATTTTAAAATTCAAATTTACAAATACTTAAAATATGAAAATATATTTTTTCCTCCAATTGGTATAACTTTAAAATGATGGTTGCTTAGCAAAACAACCAAAAAAATGTTTAATGGAGAATAGCCTTAAAAATTAACATTTTATATTATGAAACATCAAAAATGTCTTAATGTATTGTCTATGATTAACTCCTGCTTATATTGAGTTAACAGAAATTTACACTATCAAAGAAATAAAAATTACCAAGGTTTGAAAATTTACCTAAATCTTACACTACAAAAACAAATAAAATTTACCTTAGTTAGGTAAAAAAATAAAAAATATAATTATTGAGTTTCCTAATTCATTGAAGTATTTAATTAAATTATGTTTAAAATACAGTTTACAACTATTTTATTCATACATACAACACTATCTGGCAAAGTAAATATAATTATAATAGAATATAGTTTTTCTCTAAAAATACCTTTAAGCCAGATCAAAATTATCTATATCATTTTCAGTATACCTTTCAAAAATGATATTATTACGATTAAATTTTATTAATTTTGAATAAAAAAACTACTATATAGGACTAAGAAATTCTGTTTATATTAATTTTCTTAGTAATAATCATATAAAAAAATTTTACATGAAAAAAAGATTTTAAAAAAAGTAGTGGGCTTTCTCCTAATTCTCACAGGAAATTCAAACATAAAAGAGAAGATTCATGGTGTATAAGTGTCTAAAATAGTCTAACTAAAAGCAGAAAATGACAATTACTCCATTCTACTTCAACAACTTAACACCAAATGAAATATGAAATGACGGTGAGAGTAAAATTCTTTGAGGATTTTTGGAGTGATGGGGAGCATCTGGAATTCTATCAGGCCACTCTGTAACATCCAATCACTCTACCAACCCAGAGAGTGAAACGCTACTTGACTGTAACAATGGAATTTTTAGGCTGTGCTGAATGCAATAATAATAAAAACTGCTGGTCAGCAAATACTGTATAGTTAAAAATTATGACATGGATTGCTTAAAATATGTAACAAAAAGATAATATGAATAACTTATTTGTTTACAATCAATTATGTTCACAATTTATAATTAATCCAAAGGAAACAAACATTTTGAGTTTATTTATAATTTATAGTATGCTTAATATTTCCAATTTTTTTTTTAATGTTATAACCCAGAAGTATTCAATTTAAGTTCTTTAGAAAGTTTTTGCTATTTTAGAGGCATGATTTATATCTCATTAATTCTTCAGAGTTATATTAATAGGTACATTGAAATATTAGTAGACTATAAATATAAAATGGATGTTAACCATTTTTTTTTTCATATAAATAGAAACAAGTTTGAGAGCAATCATCAATTAGGTATTAATAATAAAAATTTTAAAAAGTAGTTAATGCCATCCTTCTGACTTTTAATTTTATTTTGATAATATCCATTATAATCAGAGATAATGTTTCTAATGAATACCCAGAATTTCCAGATTAATAAAATTTCAGCATAGTTTTGAAAATGGAGCATGCATCACAATCATGTCGGTAAAAAAAAAAGAAAAAAGCAATGATGAAGTGGAGTGAAGGTCAGTAAATCATCTTCACCTCAAGTACTCCAGTCACTCCAGTTAATTATTCCATTCAAAGTGACTATAGATGGCTATAGGAATTATTTAAAGCAGGGATGCCCAACCCAAGGCTGTCCGATAGGTTTTAAACTTTTTTTTCTTCTTAATTTTAGCATATTAAAAAAAAAGTCTCTTACTGGAATGGAGGGTATTTCAGACTCAGGATGTTTGATAAAGGCAGCAAAAATACTATCATAGTACCATATATCAATTTTATTGTATTAATAATGATTAATACCTTTTTCATCATGTAGATGTATTCTCAAAATTCAAAAAAGGGAAAACATATTTTTTAAAACAAGTGCCTATTCCAAAAATCCCCAACCCTGTACCTGTTGGTACCATTTTTCCACATATATATTATTCTTCACAACCTTGCCTTAAGGCCAAATTAAAAAAAAAAAAAATGTGAAAAGGAGATAAAACTTCCCAGAGAAAAACAAATAACTATTAACCTATAAATGTGTTCTTAAGTAGAAAAAGGTTGGGGACTTCTGGGCAATATTTAAATAGAAATGTTAAATTGGAGGTAAAAAGTATAGGGAATTGGGTGGGTAAAGTTGTGGTATGCCTCAATATGGAGATGCATAGAATGCCAGCCAGGTTTTAAACCAGAATTCTTCATCATATGAAATTAATTCTAATTTTAAGGTTCCAAATTTAACTTTCAATTCTAAGAACTCTGCATCTAACCAGGGACTGAGATACACTCCAGGAGCACACCCAACCTCAATAAAGTGGGGTATATGATAAAATCAAGCAAATAAGAATGAATCAGCTCATAAAATCATTGTTAGTGAACAAAAAAAACAAAACAAACCGTATTTCCTTATTAAATAATTTCTCCAACCATTCACAGGTTCTAGTAGTACAGATTTTTTCCTTCCCATTTTTTAAAGATAGAAATGATTAAAATAATGATTATTCAAAATCACAGGAATGGCAAACTATCTGCAAAAACATAGTTTTTATTAATTCGTAAAGTGAATTTTCTACAGAATATGTTAATGATTTCAGGCAGAATACTATTTTTAAACAGTAGATTAAAAGAAATCTATGTTCTATTTTAGTAAAGTAATTTATAATCTTAACTGATTATGCTGTAAAAAGATGTTAATGATAAATACAATTAAATCATTGTTTCTAAAAATATTACAAAGTTATTAGATGATAATAAAAATATTTTTTTAAATCTTAAAAAGTATAGCACCAAATGAAGTGTCAACTACAGATATATGTAACAAAGTTATTATTACTAAAACCTTATCATACAATAATAATTATCAAAGCTGAGGTATATAGTATAATAATCATAGTAAAATTATATAACAATCAGCCTTTAAATAAGTGCATTTTTTTTCCACTTTTGGAAGATTTAGTAAAAAAATTTATTGCCTTCAGATGTCAGTACTAATGGCATAAATAAATGCCTCACACTTTCAGAAGAATAGCGTAAACAAAACAGAAAAAAAATCAATAAAAAGTAATAGACCAGTACAATGATATGAAAAACAATGCATTAATAATAAAATACCAATGTTTCATATAAGAAGTGTCAACTCTTCACCTCTAAACAATCATTTATTAAATATTATTAAGACTAACAGGTTTTTTAAAATTCAAATTCATAATAAACTTAATAAGGCATTTATAAATATAAATTATTTTTTATATTCTACATTGCTATTTCGCAATAATCGTTGTTCTGAAATAATCAGTAAGCCATGTATAAATATCATCTTTGAAGAGAAACAAGATAATATACCATCAGTGGGAGTTACATAGACCCATAATTTATATTTCTCCCTAGCATTTACAAGTGAAAAACACCAAGTCAAAAAAAAAAATAAGTCCTTCAGGGTGATTCATTTATACTAACTAATCAGCTGAAGTACCTAGTGTTATAGCAAAACTATGAATAAATATAGATCTAAAAAATCATAAAAAGGAAATTCACTAATGAAAAAAATAAAATGGATTTCATCAGTCTTTAGATATTTTTTTGTGGTCAAGAAAAGTAAAAAATTGATAAATTGAATACTTTAACATAGTAGGTTTAAGATTTAGCCAATTATATATTGTTAACCTTGTGCTCCAAATGTTGATAAGGAAAAAAAACATGTAATCTACGAATCTGATTTACTTAGACTTAAAGTTAATTCATTAACTGAAAATGATTAGGTGAAGCAAGAGGACAAATATCATTTGGAGATAATAAAATAAAATCATTTGGGGATTAAAAGATAAAATACATATTCCTAATTTATAAATACTTTTATTTAAAAAATACTTATGCTTTTAGGAACTAATCTGGAAATATCACTAGTAATTTTTAAGCTTTATTACGTATCTAAATCATGGGCATCGTTCTTCCTTAATTATTGTGGGGACAGGTAAAATAATATATAGTGTAATTTCTCTTAGACAGACACTTCTCTACAGAGCACAATTTTATAAACTTCATAAAAATTTAACAATTTTGTTTTGTTTTTTAATAAATTGTATATGCCTGAGATATTACAGCAACATTTTCGTCAAAATTGACTTACTGGAAGTGCCACTTTATATCATCAATTTTACAATCTTCTTAAAAGCGGTTCAAAATTTTGTTTAAACGTGGTGTATCAATGTATAATTAAGTAATCTTTAATATCATTTAGGTCTTATTCCCATTGATGTCGCTTAACAGGGCCTGAATGCCCACTATTCAAAATATCTTTCTCTAAAGTACCTTTAATTTGGGTTATTTTTAAATAATTAACTATTTCTCATTATCAGCAGTAATTAAAAAAGGCTAAATGTAACTTTTGAAAGAATTTGATAATTGAATAAAGGAGAATAAAGGAAAAATGCATATTTAGGTCAAAAATAAATTTTTGGAATAGTAGTCAGAAGATATACGTATAATATATTGTTAGAAAGCGGAGAATTTTAGAAAAAAACAATATCTAATAAAGACAGTCATAGAAGGTAATGGAGAGTGATGAAAAAAATATAAATAATAATTTCTGAAAACTAATATTATTTAACATAACTAACATGTTTTTAAGGAAATTAAATGAAATTCTCTAATTAAATGTAAATTTTTAAAATTATTTTTAAGTTTGAAAAAGTATATAAAATCTAATGAATCAAGGCAATGACATTGTTTAAAAAACTATTTCATTGTACTTGTGTGAAAGAAGAATTGAAATATAAAAATATTTTATAGATGAGTAAAAAATATGTTTGTAACCATGAATAAATTTACTGTGGTTTAATAACTCTAAATTTGGTATTATATTTAAATAATTAGGTATCTACCGTCTGTTTATTCCAAAAAATCCTCATGTAACCTTTTATAACATTATATTAGTACATAAGTAGATGAATTTCCCTTTGTGAAATCCCAACATTATCCACTTACAATTAGTCTACACATTTGATCTACCTATGGCAGGCCATGAAAACATTATAACTCCAATTTAGTAAACATTACAATGGAAAATAAGAGTTTAATAACTAATGGTGTCGTACAATACATAATCAGTTATAGATTAAATATATAGATGTACTTTCAAATCTCTCTAGGTGTATATAGCTCAGAGACTGGATTTATGTGGTTTACAATAAAAAAAATGAGTTACGAGGTGTTTATTGCCTACCATCGATATAATAAATAGAGTTTTTGTTATTTTAATGATATTAGTTATTTGTAAGCTGTAAGCTTGCTTTAAGCTTTAGCTTCATAAAAAATGCACTTCAAAATTTTTTAAATTCAAAATTCTATTCGAAGTCCAGCGGTAAGTGAAAGTTGTGTTATGTGCACACCATATTTTTTGTTTTAGTATAGGATCATTTTAAACACTGGGTAGACCTGTCCCCATCAAAGGGATCGACGCCTATAATCTAAATACTTTTTGTTTAGTGGAATTTAGATTCTAGTTACACACCCTGGGACCAATCAACCCCCATTTATGGTATTTGTGAAAAAAATTATAACTAAATCAACTATTGAATATAAATATATCAATAACAATTTTTTTATTTAAGTGCGAAATAACAAAAATCAGTGAGTAAGAAGCATCAAAGCTCCCAGATTAAAGATAACTTTTTATGAACAATTTTTTTAAACACCACCTTTTTTTTTTAATTTACAAATTATGAGATCTATATAGATATTTTGTCCTAAACTATACACAATTAAGTTTAATAAAACTTTTTTAACAAGAATATGGCAACAAAATATGAATTAATTTTATTCAATCAGTAAGTAGGTGATTAATATAAATATATACATATATAATTTATCAATAAATATTTTTCTCATACTCACATAACTAAATTCTAATTTAAGAGCATAATTTCATCTTAATTATAAAATATTCTGGCCCATCTTTAAAAAGATAAATACAAATATTAAGCATTCACAAATTTTGATCATTGCAGCATACCTTTCAAATAGGTTTTATGAGAAAAAATATTCCATAGGTAATAAATATGTAACTTGGCATATTAGATGCCTTATTTTAGCATTATACTATAAACATATATATAAATTTAATTTCTAATAAAAAAAGGGGGCAATTTAGATATACATATATACAAAATTAAATCATCACTATTAATATGTAATGAAAGACTGCTTAATTAAATAAATAATTTATAATTAAATTTGTACTTTATAGTGATCATAAATACATATACCTCTAGTTTAAAAATATTTCATGTAATTTTAGAATTTTAGAATCTTTGAGTAAAAGCATAGCTATTTGAACTATAATAAACAAAATACACTTTATTTATCAAGCAAAGTAATTGACTATCCTACTAACAGAAACAATTTACAGTTTCTATTAATTTGTATTAAAATTGCTTAATGGTTTCTTATTGATAAATGCTTTTCTTTATAAGGTACTTTCACTATCAATAATAAAAAAAAATTATACAATTAATAGTTATATAATAATTATGCTATAATATCCTATATACTATAGTAAGCGCATGATGATGTCTTTTGGTTCATTTTAAGAAAAGATAAAATAATTATAAAAGCTTCTTACAGCCAACTCAAATTAAAACTGGAAGCTGCAAGAAGCCTAAGACAGTCTCATTCAGAAGACATTTTTTTTCCAGGAGGTCGACATTTTGTAAAAGTCCCTCGACTTGTTTCTCCCTCATTGTTGGCTTCTAAAAAAAAGAAACAGATATATGTTTTAAAATAAGTGATATATATAATATTTACACGACAAATTTAACTTTTCCCATTATAGATTCAACTATTTCCAAGAAAAACTAAACCTTTTCCAAACCAAATTCAACCTTCTCCATTTCAAATTCAACTTTCAATTTATTTAAACTTTTCACAATTTTCAACATAAGCGTCTAAAATGATGTTATCGAAAGCATATTTTTTGAAAATACAATAAATTTTAAGAATCAGCAATTGCGTATGAATTTATTTAAATAATTAAATTTGTACACAATTGCGGATTATACATCATAAGATGAGCATTATCATCAATTGTGGAAGGGTAGAAATTGTACAACGGGAGATATGAGAAATATGGTGATTCCAGGAGAGGGTTTGATCTATGAAAAAGCCTAAATTTTTAACAGAGGGGTAGAAGGTGATGGGATGGTTATTTAGGTAAAGTGAAGGAAAGTTGGTGTGGGATCTAAGAAGAGGCTTGGAACCAATGACATGGCCTGAGTTTTAGCAGCATTTAGCCTTAGCCCGTTTAAGTTTGCCCAGGCACTAATTCGATCTAAATCTTCTTGAATTTTTGTAAATGCTACTAATAACTCAGGGCAGAAAAGGAAATATAGATTTGAGAATCGTCGGCATAAAGGTGGTGGATTGGAATTGGAACAATGGAGGATTGAATCATTTAGGTCTTTCATATAGGAGCTGAAAAGAAGAGGAGATATGCTTGAACTCTGGGTAACTCCAAAGGATAAAGGAAGGTAGGCAGATAGTGGTTGATTGGGTTCGTTGTGAGAGGAAAGATTGGAACCAAGAGATGGAACTATTGGTAATAAGGTTTGTGGGGGAAATGTTGGAAAAATAAGTTATTGTCGTTAAATGACACCTCTGGAGAAAAGCCGGAAGAAAAGGGTAAAGAAGAGGTAGCAACAAATATAAAGTGGGAGTTTAGACTATCAGGTGATATTAGAAAAACTGAGGAAGGGGATCTGGAAGGTTCACAAAGGGTAAGTTTACAAAGCAGAAGCCATTTTGATTTGATATCAGAAGTTGAGGAAAGGGCTTCATGGAAGTATGTAGATTTCACTAGTCGAATTCTTGTTTTTGTCAAGTTACAAAGCACCCTAAACGCTTGATAATCATCTGTAAGCCTAGTCTACAGGCAGCGTCGCGTCTCTTCTGCAGATCTTTAATTTCCTGACACATCCAAGGAGCAAGCTAATGACAAAAGGTAGAGGTTTTGAGAGGAGCATAGGTATTGAGGATATTGAGGAGATCGGTAGTGAGAATATCAACCATAGTGTCGATGGAGGAGCAGGAATATATTCCATTCAAATCTAAGGTTTTTAGGTCAGGAAATATTTTTTCTCGAGTAAGGGTATCTAGATGGCAGAAAGTGACAGTTTGAGGGTGGATTGGAGGAGTGCAGATATTATACGTTATTTGTATCAGATCGTGAGATAAGGAAGATCGTAAGCAGAGAGGTTTTGAGCAGAGTCGATGATGTAGAAGTATAGCCAAGAGTTAGATTTGCTAGTATGGTGGGTGGGGGAAAAAGGAACGATGAATAGATAAAATAAAATAAAATAGATTTTCTAGATACGATTGTCATTGGGGTTAGAGAGGAAATTGGTAGTGAGGTCACCAGAGATAATTATTCTGGGATATAAGGGAACAAAGTTGAATAGGGTTGATTCGAAGGACGGGTCAAATGGTATGAGAGGAGGATGATATACCACAACATAAAGGATAGGAAAAGTATTACAGAGGATTTCTAAAAGATATTCTACTTAAGGGTGATCTAGAACTCTATTAATCTCACTGCACTTCCTTTACTCTGATTAAAGTGGAAATCCGATACTTAAAAGAGTGATTATTAATAGTGTTTAAAAAAAAAAAGGAAGAAAAAAACACTGAACTTACTAAACTTAAAATTAAATCAAAGTAAATTGAGTTGATAATATGAACTAATTACAGCGATGTACACACGAAGGCGACTCTGACCAGACTAAACTTCTTTAAACAACAACAAAGACTCAACAAACTGGAGATTTCAACAACATTGAAAATAAGTTTTGAATTGAGGCTTGATTTCACAGTGAAATTTTTTTTTATTCATATTTACAACTCTATTAAAAAAAACAAAATACATCTAGTAAATGTGCCCTCAGGAATATAATAACATGAAAATGCTTGTTGAGAAACTAGCCGCTGATAGCACTCAAATAATAAATTTACATAAGAAAACCATGAGGCCATTTTCTTTTCAGACACCTCGGAGGGTAATCAGGGATCGAGGAGAAAGCAAGGTTTGAAATGAGAGGGTTACGATGGTTCTGAAGTTTGTTATGGAGTATCTGGATTGGGACAAATCAGAAACATATGGAACATTAAGGTCATTATTGATGATTTTTTTTGTGACAAAGTAAGGAGCATTGAAGATTTTACTAAAGATTTTGGATTGTAAGGATTGAATACGAGAGGAATTTGATGGTTTAGTGGAGCCCCAAAGCTCAATTCCGTAAGCCCAAATAGGCCTTATTATAGTCATATATATGAGTCTTGTTCGAGGATCCCAAGTGAATCGTTTGTCCAGGTGGAGTCCTAGGTAACGGATTTGTTCAACTGGGATAAGTGGGGAATTGTTAAAGGATGCTGTAGGACAGGAGATCATAGGTTTGTGATGAAGGGTAAAGGTAATTTGATGGGATTTATTGGAATTTATTTTAATTCTCCAGTTTTTACACCATTCTTCAAGGTTTGTGATACATGATTGTAGAGTTTGAGATGCAGTTGATAGATACATGGAAGTACATTACATACACCTCCAAAATTCATACAAAGGTCACATTCACTACATACCATAGGGCCAACTTTCCTAGATATCCGTTCCAGATGGGGAGCACGACAGGAGTCTTAGAGGAGGCAGCCTCTCCACCTGACTCAGGAGCAGTGGGCTGATAACCCTCTCCCTCTAAATCCAGTTTATAAAAAAATCTTTTAAAAGTATTGAAACTGGACCGACCATTTAGGAACCATCTAGAAACTGTCCCTGTGACTTAAAGCTAGCTTTTTGAAACCAGCTGTCCTTGAACAGATTGGGAGCTCTTCGTGCCCTCCTCTCACAGTTTGATGATTACCAGATTGATGTAGCAGCAACACAGGAAATCAGATGGCTGGGAAAGGGAATTACAGAAAAGAAAAACCATATATTGTACTACAGCTGTCATGACTCCCAACATTCCTTTGGGACAGGGTTTATAGTAAGCGGATATGCACGCCAACTTGTTATCAACTTAACTCCCTTGAACCTGAGGAACTGTAAGATAACGAATCAAGGGTAAGTTCTTCAATTATAGCTTAATTAGCTGCCATGCCTCTACTGAGGTGTTGTCCGAAGAAGATAAGGATTTGTTCTATTAGGACCTGGCTAAAACTATGAATGAATGCCTAAAAAATGATGTAAAAGTCCTCCTTGATGATTTGAATGCACAAGTAGGACAAGAATTGGCATATAGACCAACCATAGGATGACCCTTTAGCATTCATGAATTGTCCAATGATAATGGTCATAGGTTGGTTAATTTTGCTGCATCGAGATGATTGGTAATTGGTGGCACATTTTCCAGGAAGAACAATCATCAAGCCACGTGGATATCACCCAATGGAAGGATCACAAGTCAAATTGATCACCTACTAATAAGTGTGAACCACAAGACAGACTTGATTGATTCAAGGACCTGTAAAGGAGAGAATGCTGATTCTGACTATTATATGAACTTAGCAAAAATCAGAGCCAGAATCGCAACTACAAAACCATCAAGGGCAAAGGGCAAAAGTCTTTACAATACTGAAAGGGTAAAGGACCCCAAAGTACAAGATTCATATCGAATAAAGCTTGATGGGCCCCTAACAACCACACTCTGTAGCGTTAGTGACAGCGTAGACGATAGGTGGGAGGCATGTTCACATGCCAACACACTGCTGCACAAGATATACTGGGTCCCGTACAAAGAGAACTCCATAAAGGCTGATTTGAATGCTACAAAGTAACATCTGAAAAAAATGAAGCCTATGGAAAGATGATCCAGAGGCACAAGACAATCTTGCAAATTATACAGAGAGTGCAGAAGAATTGAGAAGAGGGTCCATCAAAGAATGAAGAGAGCCAGGGAGAGCAGGAAGCTGGAAAATTTAGAACATTTTAGAGCAACCAATGATACATGCTTCTTCTTTCAGTGAGTGAAGGAAGAGCAGCCTTTAAACTGAGAATAAAACTGTGTAAAGAAGAAGATGATATACTCTTAACTGAAAAGAATACTATTCTGAATCGATGGAAGGGGCACTTTGGGGAACTGCTTCACAAAGAAAATAGCAGAAACAGAAAAATATAAACATGGAAGAAGAGAATAAGTATGAAAGAAATGGTGAAATGGAAATGGAAGCAGAACCATCTGATGATGAAGAGGTAGATGTTGCAATTATTAAATTGAAAAACTACAAAGCCACGAGATATGACTGAATTCAAGCAGAACTCCTGAATCACAGTGATGAAGGTCTAAGAAAAGCCCTTCATGAAATAATACTTGTTTTTATTTCGTCGCCTACCTCGCCTCTTAAGGCTATATGGGAGTTTCCCCGGACCAGGGGGTGAGGGTGGGGAATTTAAAGGACCCTCAAGGCACCGGCACGCGAACTCGTAATTTTATTGTACTACTTTTTTTTTTTTTTGGCCTCCCCTTCCTCGCCTTTTAGGCTATACGGGGGTTTTCCCGGGCCAGGGAGTGTGGGCGGGGATTTAAAAACTCCTCCGGGCAACGGGCCGCGAACTCGTGACTATTTTTTTTTTTATCAAAGTCTCATGTATCAGGTTGCCGGGCTACGGCGGTGCAGTGCACACGCGTTAGCCCATTCGGCCACCCCGCCCACATTGTACTACTATCTATAGAGGAGCAAGAAGACCTACTAATAAAGAATGGCCTAATACAGAAGACCTAGAAGCAGGGAAACAAGGAGTAATATTCCCCATCCACAAAAAAGGAGACCAGGCTGATTGAAATAATTATAGGGGTATCACAATATTGCTGTGCTCCTACAGGATTCTATCCAATATCATATTTTGCAGACTTTTTCCCCATGCAGAAAGAGTTCTTGGGAAATACCAAGTCGGCTTCAGGAAAGGACAATTCACCACCGACCAGATCTTCTATATTAGGATGATTCTTGAGAAGTCACCTGAATATCAAATCACAACACACCATTTATTTATAGACTTCAAGTCAGCTTTCAACAGTGTTGACCGATGAGAGTTATATCAGGCTTTGTATGACTTTAATACTCCCCCAAAACTAATACAGCTTGCCAGAATAATAACGAAAGAGAAGAAATGCATAGTGCAAATTGGATCAGACATGCTAGAAGAATTTGATTTTAGTACAGGAATCAGACATGTAGATATGCTAGCCTGTCTGCTTTTTAATCTTGCTGAAGAAAGAGCAGTGAGAGAATCTTGGAGTGTGTGGAGTGTGAGGAGGCTTGGATGGGTGGGACACCTGCCCAGGATGGAGGAGAATGAAATCCTGCAAAATCGGCTCTTGAAACCCTGTACCAAGCTAGAAGAGTGGAACGACCCAAAACAAGATGGATGGATAGCGTCCACGCAAATGCTGGGAATATTTTTGGAATAACGGATTGGATGGCTGCTGCGCACAATAGGGATGAATGACAAAAACTTTTGGAGAGGGCCCTGATTCAATAATCCATTGCTGCACCATATATGTATGTATGTATCCCTCCGATAAAATAATAATTGACACAGGATCTGAAAAATTGCAATATAATATAAGTGATATGGGAGCAAGTAATCATATCATATTATTTTCAGAAATAAAACCTCTCATAACACATTAACAGACAGTAAAATTCAAACAGTCAAATTAATTCGAGAAGCGAAATTGTAATTCTAAAATCGACAATATTATCAAAAACTAAGCCCTCAACAACATAATGATAGACCCTTATACCCAAAAAGTTAAAATAAATCGACAGTTGAATTTCAAAAGTAAAAAGTCAAATTTGTCTTGGGAATGGTTTAATTTGACTTGAAAAAAATTGAAATTTACTTGGAAAAAGTTTAATATGATTTGGAAATGCTGTATTTTACCACAATGGGACTTTCACTAATTATGATGAAAAATATCGATACTTTAATATTTTTAAAACATTGAATGTCGAACATGGATATTAATGATACATAAATATAAAAATGTCATTAGTTTTTATTTATTTCATGTTATAATATTTCAGGAACATTTGACAATTGATCTTTAAAAAATTGAAACAACTACATTTTTTTAGTTCCTCAACCGATCTTACAATATAATCTGATACAATAAACCTACGATTTACATTATATAAATTTATGTCAAGCAAGACTCAACTTTGGTCACTTTTCAAGAAATGAAATCTGATGTAATTAGAAGGATTGCTTATATTCATTCTCAATAGTTTTTGTTATTACCTAACAATGTTAGAAATATTTAAAGAATTTATGAACAATTAGAGAATTTATACCTAATTTTTACTTTTGTTCATAAATTACATTTGTAATTCCTTTATTAAGTGTAAGAATTTAAAAAAATATATATAAATGATATTTACTCAGGTTTCTCGAAAAATTAACTTTATTCATAAGTGTTAAGTGAATAACCAGAAAAAAATACCTTTTTCAGTCGGAGAACCCAGAGTAAGACTAGAGAGAGAAGAGGATAAATTCATATTAGATGACACACTTAACATGGATGGATACTGTGCAATATCTAGTTCCCCTTCTTCAACTGGCATACACATCTCCACCATTGTTTCCAGACAATTCACAAAGAGTTCGGCATTTTCAGCAGTACATTGAGTCTTTATTAAACATAAATCAGTGTTAAAATAATTATATACTATTTAAATCCAATAAGAATAATTTGTAAACTCAGCAACTGCATATGATAAAAACATTAAGCTAACATTAATGCTTATTTTACTTACATAAACTATCCTAAAATAAAAGATATGGTTTGAAAATATTTAATATAAATGTCATGCATTATTGATGTTTATTCCATACATTAAATAATTAAAAATGTTCATAAATTCAATCCAGTCAATTTCTAGACACACTTCATATATTATTGAGTTTATTCAAAGAAAATAAAAATAGATAGAAAAGAAAATACATATAATCTATAAAAAGAATAAGAATATTAAAGAAAAAAATACAAAAACATAATTTAATTAAAGAGGCAAGTTTTCCTAATTTTTATATTTATACCTTGGTAAAAGGTCCTGCAAATCTCCATAAACCTCCAAAGCCACACGACTGTAGGAAATGCAATTGCTGAAGACTTGTATCTTCACAAGCAATCATGTTTTGTATAATGCTCTGCACAGAACTCAACAAGACTTGATCATGACAAGTTGATAACAAACTGGTTAACTTGGCATCAAGCAAAGAGTTACTGTTAAAATATAAGCCATTTTGTAAATAAAATCAAACATATTAAATGATAAAATAAAGGAAATAATTTACAATTATTCAAGTTGGAAGTTCTCTCAATTGATTATGAAAATATAATTAACAACTCAGTGAATCATTAATAAAGATAAACACTAATAATCAAGTGAATAAATTAGATAAAAAATTACTAGATTTTATTTTTTACTAAAGATTAAATTTAACAAAACATTTTAACCATCCAAAATTGACTTTTACTTTTTATTAATTTTTTTAATGGGATAAAATGTAATTTCCTTTCACTTCTCTTCTTCACTGTAATCGTCATGTTTTGTGCTGTCGATAAGTTAAATTTAATCCTACAAAATGTGCAAAATCGTGTCATAAAAACCAAAAATATTTAAAATTATGTAATTAACACCAAAAAAACCTCCAAAACTCATCTATTTTATTTAATTTATTATATTGATTAGAGACCGGATTTTCATGTTATTGCAGATTTTATTTGGTTTGATTAGATTTTGATGCATTAATATAATAAATTAAATAAAATAGATTATTTTTGCACCCTTTTAGGTGTTAATTACACAATTTTAAATATTTTGGGTTTTCACTATACGATTTTTCACATTTTAATTGTTTTACTAGATGTTTTTCGGATTTTTATCGCACGAAAATCCAGTCTCTAATAATTGCAAGTCACTTTAATATAAATCTCTTAAACGACTCTCCCATCAAAATAAATTTGGTAGACCTGGCATACTCTTTTGATTTATTTATTGTATCCTTCCAACTTATCCATCATACCAAGGCCTAAAGAAATAGGCCTGGCTCAGCCAATAATGATGCCACATTTGTGGAGCTAGGGCTAAGGCTTTTGTAGCTTTAATCTATTGCAATGCTTTTCATTATTTTTATAATCAATCATTATCCCCGATTTTTAATGGCTATAAATGTTTGTCAACCACGAAAAGCGACTACTTATTTCTTATTCTACTATAACAAAGAAAAAATACATCTAACTTATTCCTATGACTTAAAGCCAATTTTATATTACTAATAATACTTTAAATACTCACCACAGAACTAATTGAATTTAACGACAAAATTCATAGCAATAAGAGTATTTTTTTCATGAAACCGAATAAAAAAAGGTTAATCAAAGAATAAAAGTTCAATCATATAAAACAAAGCTGTTTTGAACTATTTTATCGATATTTTCATAAGCTTTAGTGGTGAAAAAAATGCCACCACAGAGGAAATAAATACAAGAATTACAGCAGGCAATAATGTCTTTTTGGACTACAGAGAACATGCAAATTTCAGAACCTGTCCCACAAAGCTTTTTATTTATAAAACAATATTGAAACCATTTTCACATACCTAGATGAAACATGGGTCCTGACTCAGAAATGCAAGAAGATCCCCTGGATCTGAGAAAGGAATGTCTTTCACCAGATCTTTGGGGCAGTATATATAGGTGGCCAATGAAAAATAAGAAAGAATACAGAACTTCAGGAACTGTATAATGAAACAGATATTGTAAAAAGACATTACTCATGTAAAATCAAGCCATATAGGGTGGTTTAGGCGCATAGAAAGAATGGAAGGAGATAAATACCCGATACAACTATCACCAGTATATTCCTAAGGTTACACATAGTGGAGACAGTATTCTGTTCCACCTCAACTTAAATGAATACTAGATATACTTTTATTAATCAACTAGTTAGTTAGTTTCCTATAACACCAAATGTGGAAAATAAGCCACCATTAAACAAAGTTTTATAGAAAAATATAAGTTGATCGTATACAAATATAAAATATTTGGAAGAAGTTCTTAAATATATACTCACATTACTGGAAATACTTTAGAAAAAACAACAGATGCTTCAGCAAGATATTGGTACAAAATGCGTGTTTCATTTTCATCAGTAGCATATTTAACAAGGGTAGCTAGCACTGTCAGAACAAGCGCTTGAACAGTGGGATCAGTTAAGACTTCTGGATCAAGTAAAACATTGTTTTCATTGGAAACAGATACACGAGCACTGCGATTCTAAAACAAAAATTTCTATGGTGTAAATTTACATATTTCATTTTGAGGGGAAAATATTGGGCTGGAAAATGTAGATTCATAAATAAAACAAACAGATATAAAGATTTAAATTTAATATGTAATTAAGTTAAATTATTAGTTTAAAGAGATAAAAATCTTAAATGAAGTGGTAATGAGGTATATGCATATGTCACAGATTTTTAGAGAAACAATTTATAGTCAATAGATTTGCTTTTAAAACTACAATTCCCAAAGTTTGATGAAAATCTGTTTGTTAATAATTTTTTTATAAACTTCTTATTAACTAAGAAAAACTAGCATCATGATATCACACTCTTCAATAATAATTGAGATGTGATTGTTCTACAATCTTCGCTGAGATCAAAAGTTATTGTTTTGTTGAGTTTTTCATATAAACTCATGAACCAATTTGTGTAGGCTAATACTTAAAATTTGCCAACTGTCACTCATTTAATGAGTTGGAAATTTCTTAAATTTCTTTAATGAAATAAAGAGAGCTAAAGCTGACAGATATGTACTCATTATGTAAATTTTATTCTTTTATTGTCAAAAATAATGCATGATAAGTTGTTTATAAACATTTATAAGTATCTATTGAAAATATAATTGGATTTTGAAAAGGAACAATATGATTTAAGGAAATAAAAATGTGAATAACACCATAATAAAAGAAAGATTCACATATATCTTTTAGTAACATGATCCAAACTATGTTTCGTTATTCTTAACCCTTTAACGATTGTGGACTCAAATATGAGTTGAAAGGGAATCTGGCTCAGGTGAAGGTGGATTCACCAATATTTCATATATTCTGGTTTTAACCAAAATGTTTTGTAATATACAGGGAATAATAATAATAAAAAAATGTATATCTCCATTTAAAATATGCCACTCCTAACTATAAATTAGTCTTTTTAATAACATAAATTAAAACTTTTATGTATTAAATGATCTAAACTCTGCAATAGTTCTCAGAAATAAGAAAACCATAAATTAATAATTAATTTCATGGATTAGGGGGACCGGAATGTAATGTCGTTTTCTTACATTAAATTCAAATACAAAGAGTTTTAAAAAGTTTTTATTTTTAATCAATGAAATTTTCAATGGTGGATCAATAAAAATCAATTGGTTTTTGAGCAAAATATATAGAGATGGCATTTTGGATATTTTCCCAATTTGCAAATCTTTTGCCACTTAGGAAGTGTTGAAGCAATAAAAATAAATGGAAATCCGATGGTGCTACATGGGGCGAGTATGGTGAGTGAGTCAGTACCTTCCACCCCAATTTATTAACTTTTGACAGGGTTTGTCTTGTGCAGTGCAGTCTTGCATTTTCTAGTTGCAGAATAATGCCTTTTCTATCGACAATTGCTGGCCTCTGTTCAATTAAAGATTTACATGATTTAATTGTACACAGTATAGGTCTGCATCCACAGTTTGTTCAGAATTCAGCACTTCAAAACGAACAATGCCACGAATACTCCACCAAACACACGAAAGGACCTTATTGGGATGTAAACCTGGCTTAGCAGTACTTTTGTGGCAATTCATTTGGAGAGAGCCACTGCCTTTTGCTTTTTGGATTATCATACAGGACGCATTTTGCATCTGTGATGATCAAGTGATCAAAAAAACGCTTTTGTATTGTGCCGTTGAAGCAATAAGTTGCGTATGATGATTTCTCAATCTGCTGCAAATGTTCTTGAATGGTCGAACAAGGTTCGTTAAGACTGTTTGACAATTCCTCGATTGTCTGACACAGCTCCGACTTCCGTCCTTTACACATCATTGTCTAATGTTGTTGGTCATCCTGATCTATAAGAGTCGGAAAGATCACAATTACCAGATTTGAACTTGGGAAACCACCTTTGGCATTTATGAACATCTAATGCATTTGGATAAACATCACAAATGTTGCATTACTACTCTTACAAAACTCAAAAAGCATGCAATGCCAGATAGGAGAAAATACCTCTTCTTGTATTTGGCTGGCCATTTCAACAAAAATTGCAACAAAAAAAAATTTTAATTTAATTATTTACAACTAAACAAGTCAAACAACCTTAGGATATCTTTGCCATGACTTAGATGTACACAATTAGCTGACAAATGACAATCAACTGGTGACATGCATAGAAACGACATTACTTTCTGGTCCCCCTAATACTTGTGACATTTGAACACTACAAAGGAGATCAAACCAAAGAACAAATGTGAGGATTGATTGAAAAGCTACTTTAAATAAAAAGATCCAGTCGAACCTCTGTATATCGAACTTCCATATATCAAAAATCTCTATCAATAAAACAAATTTTTTTGGAACCTTGAATTTTTATTACAAAAAATATTCTATATATATATCAAATGTATAAAACTTAATTGTCACAAAAAATAATCTTTAATTAATGTTTATAAGAATAGGTAATAATTAAATAAGAAAAAAAAATGGTTTCACTGTTTCACAAACCAATGAAAATTCAGGAAAACATTGCTTGAAAAGAAGTGATTTCCATGAGAATAAGATTCTCTAATTTTTTTTTTAACATAGAATGAATTTTTTATTTTAAATTCAGTTTAAAATAAATATAGCTCCTACTAATGAAAATTATTTAATGTGAAAGAAAAGTTCGACTATAAAAAGACATAAAAAACCAAATGAAAAATAAAGATGTAACAAAAAATATGATGTTACAACATCTAAGGTATCAAAAGTTTACAAAGCCTGTGATTCACTTAATAGAACATCTGAAATTTTTGGATGAGATTGGAAGCAATTCAAAACCTTAAAGTTTGATAACATTAATAAAGCTTTATTAAAATGTTATCCATTAAACAAGTTGCCTTTGATAATTCTTTAATCCTCAAATATAATTCTAGTTGTTTTTAGCATGACTAGAAAGATAAATTTCAATGTTCCTATACATCATTTCTTTTGAAGAAATCTTCATACTCGATATATCGAGGTTCAATTGTATATAAAATTTGAAATGAAAATGATAGAAGGTAATCAGTCACTACAGAACAATAATCATCATTGAACTAGCTCAAAACACTACATCATTTGAAAACAAATTAATAACTGTGATATTTTTAAATATATATAAACAATACGCCTCATAACTCTCAATTAATTACCTTGTTTTGGTCATTTGGAGACCCACTATTTGGTGAAGGAACCGAAGAAGATCTCTTAGTTCTAAAAAGTGATCTAGAAGTTTGGAGAACTGATACTTGGGAACCGAGATCAAGACTATGCCAACCTTTATTACTTATAGAACTATCTATAGAAGAAATGCTCAGACCAGCCTACAAACAAATGTATACAAATATTTAAGTGATGGATTAAAATACCACCACATATTTTTTATAAAATAATACAATCTTTAGATAATTTATTCGGCAATCAAACTCACTAGACAATTAACAGACTTAACAGAAAAAAAGAACAAATAATTACTAATACACAGCCTTTTTATAATAATCAACAAATAAATCTTATCATATCAATTCATAATTTAATTAAATAACATAGGTAATGAGTAATATTTATCAACTAACAGTATAAAGTCAAACCATAAATTAAATAGAATAAAGTAAAAAAATTAAACCAATGATAAATAAAACAATAATTTAACTTGAAGTTAATAATGTTTAACATGCTAACCAAATAATAGACAAAACCATTATTATAATATAAGTAAAATATTTTAAATACAGTAAATTGCATATAATAAAAATTAGTTTAAAATAAAAATACCATAAATATATTGACTTATTGTCATTGAGGAACCATTTGAAATTGGAATGTGATAACAATTATAATGAATGGTTTTTTTTTTTTTTTTTTTTTTTTTTGTTAGAAATTCATTTTCCTAATAAGAACAGAAATCCATAAAATTCTAATTGAGAATTTTTACCGCACAAAACTTAATCAACAAGTTATGATACAGATGCTTAGAAAATACATCAATAAATTGAAATAACAAAAACTAAAAACTTTCACTTACCACCCTCTTGGCAGAAATAAGGATTATAAAACAAAAGGAAGTGAAAGTAAAAGTTATAGAAGGTAAGAAACATTATTGAAAACAATTAATTACCATATGTTTTTCATAGCCTTCTAATGTTTGACTTGAAACGTAATATATTTATTATATTATTTGTTTGACACTAGCCGATCCATTTCCTTTTCCGATTGTATATTTCAATTATTTATTTGATTATAACAAATTAAGTTTCATGAAACATTTTTAGTCCGACAAGAGTGCCACTTATAAAGAAAGTAACTATATTTAATTATATTTTATTGTGGGTATTTTTATTTGTTTAATTACCGGTATATATACTAATTTTAATTTTTATATGACTGTAACCTATACAATTAACTATTAAATAATACTAATGATAGCATTTATGAAAACAGCATATGTATATGTAAATAATATTGTCAGAGTCCGTATTATATTATGCTCATGTTACGTATGGAAGTCTGATCCAATCTTGCACACTCTTATTCCTTTGGTTCCTCCATTGCTACTATTCTCCGTAATGATCTCTTGTTTCTCCTTTAGTTAATTATCAAATTCTTTCATCTTTTATATTTAATTATTTTTTAAATAAGAGATTAATATGAAACGGTTAATTATTTCAAATAAAAAAAATTAAAGGTACTTTAGAGGAAGACATTTTGAAAGAATCGGAATTTAAGCCCTGTCAGATTGGATCGATGAGGATGAAAAAAAAAAAACCTGTACCACTACAACCCATGAAGGGTCTTGGGTTCAGTACTATTTAGGGAAAGTACTGTTTCAAGGCCAACGGTTGTGCAAGGAGGGGATCAGGCCAGGATCACGCTCAACCATCAGGTTTTCTCCCTTAATCAATTATTTAATTAAAGGTACCCACTTTGTAGAGGCTGGATGTGCCCCAGGAGGGTCTCGCTATTGATGAGGATGAAACCTAACTTAAATTAAAAA